AAAATTAACTAGTTCACCCAAGAAATGTAAACTAAGACCACAGAAAAATTAACTGTCCACCAAGAAATGAAACTAGCACAGAAAAATTACTGTTCACCACGAAATGAAACTAGCACAGAAAAATTACTGTTCACCACGAAATGAAACTAGCACAGAAAAATTACTGTTCACCAAGAAATGAAACTGGAAAGTCCAAAGTAAATCTTAAAAAATTCTGCATCAAAAGGAGTTGGGTTTCTGGAGTACATAAGAGTCTAACAACTAAAAAGTAGAAAACCTTCTAAAAATTGTCTACTCTGGATAAACAAACCAATGCTTGGAATACTGAATGTTTTAACTATTCCAGACTAAATATTTTGACATTAAAAACAAAACAACTGGATTGAACCTTAAAATATAAACAAGACACAGAGTAAGTTAAAGTTGTTACCTAATACTGAGATCTGAGATGAGAACTTCAGAATTTTGACATCAATTAGCAAAGTTATATGTAACTCACCATAAAACGGTCGTACCCGAGGCATTTTGTACTTCCACATTTTGTACTTGTGAACAATATCAGACATGTCGAAGACATAAAAAGGTTCTTCTGAATCCTAAAATTGATAAGCAGTGTTAGTTAATAATTAAATTTAAGTTTTGTATGATATATTGCTACATAATAATGAAAAATAGGACTTGAGTGTAGTAAAAGTTAACAACATTATAAGTATCACCACATTGACTCTAGAATTATCAGTTCTCAGCCTTTTAAACTATCTATACACCAAGCTGCTTGTGGATTCATCACTTTTACAGAATCTCTTGCAATATTAGCCACAAAAACACATCAATATTGCACTTATGCTCACTGATTATTGTTAAGTTTCTGCCTTTGTATTTACATTGAAAATAAAGAGTTTCATCTATTAATTGTTGTACTTTGTAAATACATATTACTTAATACACAGACACTGGTAATGAATGGCAAACAAAAGAGAAAAGTCAGTAATTTGAGAATTAAGCAAAATTAACTGATTTCAAACAGGCATCAAAAGTATCCATATTCAAATTGTTGAAATTATATTAATCCAGATCTGTACACTAGAGGGACACTCTGTAGAGCATACACCTCTACCCCAAAGTATTGATCACATTCAGCTCTCAAAAAATACAAAAATGTGTATATATTTCCGTTGTTATAAACAGACAGACATTTTTCACAGGACAATGAGGAATAATATGCTATACATGTTCACCAAGTTTCATCAAAATCCGATTATTTTTGACTGAATTATAGAGCAAAAATAGTGTGAATTATCGGTCCCCATGTTAACAAATAGGGATTTTTTGGATTTTGACTTTTGCTATGACCTCGACCCTCCAAAACTAATCACTTCTAAGTTGGGTCGTAGTCCAAATGTAAACCAATTTTTGTCCAAATCCATTCATGAAATCTTGCTGACAAACACAGAGGTAAAAACATAACCTTCAATGGTGGAAGTAAATAAAGGTGCACTTCAAACTGTTTTCCCATAACAGTGAATAAAATGACTATTACAAAATAAACTGTTTAGGTTCTGGAAAACTTTTAAAGGTCACAAAAGATGATTAAAAATGAACTTCAGAGTAAATCAATGTCAGTAACCATTAACAGTCTAAGCCTCTTTCCCTCTCATAACAACTACATCTATGGAGTTTTATCTCCTATAATTTGTTTGATATTCAGATGGCACTTGTGTAAATGCTTAGTCAAAATTCTTTTTTAAAATAACTTATACACAGTACTCACAAAAATGCTGTTCCCCAATTTCAAAAATACAATAAAATACTGAATAACTTATTGTAGGATATAAACAAATTATGATGAGTCTGAAAACATTCTCATACACTCAACATATTTCAACATCTTGCTGTGTCAACCTCTTAGTTTTTTTTTTGTTTTTTTTTATTATTTTGGCATACAGCTTGTTATATTTTGACCTTGGGCAGTGTTCCAATGCAGTTAGCAATAAGCCCATCCTTCAATTTGACTATTTCTTTCATTTAAACAAAGCTAACATTTTAATATTTTCAATATTATTAATATTCTCTTTTAATGGTCAACAAGCAATGAGTCAGGAATCTGAAAAATTAAACTAAAATAAATATATACTCATTTGTAACAAGGAAAGGCTACACAAATGATGTAACAATTACATTTTCTACTACCACTTTATGTATGATATTACAAACTTCCCTTATTCATGATTGGCTTCTGAACAACACTACAAGCAGTGGATATCTAAAACTAATTATTAAAATCACTCAACTGTTAATTTTAAATAAAGCTTATCAGCCATAAGTAATAAGTCAATGTTGTATGTTGCTTATTCTACAGTAATAAACCAAAATCAATGTCAAAAACAATTAACATTGTCTTGTATGCAAAGCACATGCACAAGTTCAGTTAGTATTTGGGATGATGAGAAATTACATTTACAGAAATATTTCAGAATTACAGGTGCAATTAAATAAGCTATTTCTAAGTTTGTTTATCATTTGTGTAAGAAATCTTGTGTGTGGTATTTTTTTGAAAGACTGTGTATCTAAAACGTTAAACACACAAAAAACAAAATAAATTCCATTCATGTAATTTTCTGACAGTTTGATAATGTTAAAATCAGAAACTTAAGTAATAAACTGACTTGCAAATTCACAAGAAATTAGTCTATGTTGAGCTCTTCACACCTTGATAATAGCTTTAAATATGACATCATAACAAATGAGTGATAAAAGATACAAATTAATAATTATGAGGGATGAAAACACATACACGAGCTTAACATTCTTAATAATTATTGCTACCTGAAATAATTTTCTGAAATATTTTGCTTTTGCCAATGTGAACTGTAAATATCAGTCTCATGTCTACAGTAAATTAAACCCCAATAAATTCTAAATACATCAACATGCAATATTCCACAGGGGTGAATGTTTGACACATTTTAAAATAGACAATTTGTCATTTTTTCCACTTTACTAAATGTTTTCAAGCAAAATTTAAGCCTTAAAAAGAAGGCAAAAACCGTTTGTCAAAGATGTTTATTAACCATTTTGACACTCGGTGATTTAGAAACCAAACGAAAAAAATAAGAACAAAAGAAAGATGATTTTTACTGGTTTTTCATGAAAAAGACTTACCATTTGATCGGTAATATTCTTTACATATTCCAAGATAGATTTGTTAGTTGCAGTTCTTCTGATCTGCTGGTTTGTTCGAGGCTTCATGTTCCTCTTTTGATACAGCAAAATGTTTGTACCAAGTTATTCAGATTTCTTTAGAAATGTTGCACAAATATTCAGTCAGAGTCTGAAAAAAGAATATATTTAAAGGAACGTGCATTTGCATTAATGTTCCACCTTAAGCCTAGTATCATTTTTCACATCTCTTATGTTCAGTTGAAGTTTTATCTAGGCTGAATCTTTTAGAAAACAACAAGATTACTTGTAAATAAACAGTGTTTAACACAAACTCTTTAATACTATACTTTGTTTTTTCACATATCATGTATATTTTTTACTATCGGCTTGTCAAGTCAAAACTCCTGCTTGTGCATTCACAGCAGTACGAGTACCCAATCTCTGCCCAGTGTGGGATCCTTAGAGTGCTGAAAACCACATCACCTGTGACACCACAGGGATGTAAATATAGTTCCACTGAGTGCCATCAGAGGAATTTTTTGCATGTCCATTTGAAGCTGCAATAACAGGGTAATTATTGTATATCATATAGATTTTATTTTATCATTATGTTAATTATATTTGATTATAACATCTGATAAAAATTGATTTTTTTTAAATTAAAAATTAGTAGTAATATACTTGGATCATTTATTCAACTGTCGTACATTTGTCTTAGTGTGTGATTACAAAATGGACTCTCACATCATAATGCCTTTGGATTTGTACTGTTACAAAATTTCACAAAATCTTTCCTATTTTATTTCTGAAATATTGTTTTAATTGTAACTTCATTTCATTATCCATGTCTTTAATAACAAATGTAAAAAAAAAGTAACATTTTATATTTCATACAGTTCATTACAATTCAACTTTTTATACTGTTAACTCAAGGTTTACTTTCATGGTTATCATAAAGTGTACTACTTACTTACAATTTAATCAACATTATCTGAAAAATGTCCGTTATCATGCATAACTATTTATACACAAGATATCCAAGCTCTAGATACATGTATATCCTAGGTAAACATATCATACCAACTAAGGAAGCAAGAATTTGTAAATCCAGTAAAACTGATTTAACTTGTATTCAATTTATTATCATCCATAAAGTATTCACAAAGGCTGTTTCCATTCTTAAGTCCTAAGACATCTATATTTATTTAGAAGTTATTAAACTATAACACAAATCATAATAACTAAACAGAAAGTCAATGTAACATGTATTGTTTCATGTTTTGTCACACAGTATTATGCGATTGGGTAATACTTATTATAAAACTGATTTTTCTTTTTCATAGAGCATTTCAAATGAAGCATTTTCAAAACACAATATAAACTAAGTAAAATAAATGTGTAACATGTAACATTTTATGTTTTGTCAAATTATATTCATCTGATTGCAGACATTGCATGCATGTTTGTAATTACAAAATGCTACATTTCTCTGTGTAACATTACAACTCCCTTATAAAAAAAAATTAAAAATGATTCAATTGAGAATCACTATATACCAGTGATTCTCAACCGGTGGGCCATGAGACAAGTAGATATAGGTTGCCACAGACTGTGACTGCTCTGAATTAACAAATGGGCCTTTACTATTTTGACAAATAACTAACTGGGCCTTGAAATGTAAAAGGTTGAGGAACCCTGTTTAAACCACACTAATACAAATCTATATTGTTACGTCTCTGGTCGTTTGTTAATTTCCGGTATAAATTCTTCCCGAGAAACTTCAGCGATACAAGTGCTTTCTTAATTAAAAATAGTTTATTCTTTCTTGATACAACTTTGCAATACACGGAATTTCCACAGTCAATACGTTTGCAATCTCGATAACAAAACACACACTTTATATTACCGTCACTACTGCTCGCTTGACTCAATTATCTGTCTCTATATCTATCTATCTGCCATTATTTGCCAGGCTTATATACTAAAATAGAGGGTGCCTGGAAAAGACTAGAGTTACCAGGAAAAGTTACGATCCTTCGAGAATCTCATGACGTGTTACCAGCATCATGTGACTTCCGCTGTCATAATAATATATAGAAATACTACCTGACAAGTGACCATGTGACTCCAGCCACGATCCAGTTAGCACTGGGCAATTAGTGGTATTTGATAACTGATTAATCAATGATCCCATTAATGAATTATACTTAAACCACAGTTCCTCAAACCATAGTTTGTACAAGAAAAATAATAACTAGCAGTAAAAACTGTTAGACAGTTCCCTTCTCTCTAGTCTGCAGTTCAAAATTAGTGGCAGATGCAGATATCCTGAGACAGTTCCCTTCTCTCTAGTCTGCAGTTCCAAATTAGTGGCAGATGCAGATAGCCTGGGACAGTTCCCTTCTCTCTAGTCTGCAGTTCACAATTAGTGGCAGATGCAGATAGCCTGAGCAACTTTATCATAATTTAAGGCAGGGCAAGCAAGTTTTGGTGGCAGTGGGAATTGAACCCTAGATCCTTGAATCATTACCCCCCCCCAACCAAATCAGAGCTGAACAAGCTTGAAGTATTAAAAATAAGAACAATTGATGAAACTTAAATTAAGATGGCCAATTATATAGCTTCATTCTTAAGAAACAAATAAAAATAACCTGGATAACTGAAATAACAGAAAACGGTAATAACTGAAAACACCATAATTTTGATTACTTGATTATTTTCATGACAATCAATATAATTGTAATCTCAATTAATTGACTGTTGAAATAATATAAAACAGTAATAATTAAAAACATTAATTTTGATTAACTGATTAGTTTACATGACTAATTGTTGTTTATATTAGGCAGTTAAGAAATTAACGTACCTTTTTTTTAAATGAAAAACCCAAATAGCTTCTATATCAAAACAAAACATTTATTAAATGAAATAGTTTCAATTCTTATC